GCCTGTCCTCCTACAACCTGTCCTCCTACAGACTGTCCTCCTACAGACTGTCCTCCTACAACCTGTCCTCCTACAGCCTGTCCTCCTACAGCCTGTCCTCCTACAGACTGTCCTCCTACAACCTGTCCTCCTACAGCCTGTCCTCCTACAACCTGTCCTCCTACAGACTGTCCTCCTACAGACTGTCCTCCTACAGCCTGTCCTCCTACAGCCTGTCATCTTTCAACCTGTCCTCCTACAGCCTGTCCTCCTACAGCCTGTCCTCCTACAGACTGTCCTCCTACAGCCTGTCCTCCTACAGCCTGTCCTCCTACAACCTGTCCTCCTACAGACTGTCCTCCTACAGACTGTCCTCCTACAGACTGTCCTCCTACAACCTGTCCTCCTACAGCCTGTCCTCCTACAGACTGTCCTCCTACAGACTGTCCTCCTACAACCTGTCCTCCTTCAGCCTGTCCTCCTACAGCCTGTCCTCCTACAGCCTGTCCTCCTACAGACTGTCCTCCTACAACCTGTCCTCCTACAGCCTGTCCTCCTACAGCCTGTCCTCCTACAGCCTGTCCTCCTACAACCTGTCCTCCTACAACCTGTCCTCCTACAAAGAACGTCGCTTTTCAATCGTATGCATTACACAAGGCCAAAAATTATCGTACTAGAAAATGGAAGCGGTTGTTGAAAGAAACGTATTGTCCCGTTTTCTGTTATGGGTCCTCTGGCAGGTTAGAAGTCAGTTGAAAAAAATTAACTGTAAAAAAATTCATTTTACAATGTTATTGTGGCCTGTCGCTTAGAGATACTTTTTGTAGATTGCAGGCGAGGAGTCACAATAACGTGGCTGAAGTATGTTGACCAAACCACACACTAGAAGGTGAAGGGACGACCACGTTTCGGTCCGTCCTGGACCATTCTCAAGTCGATTGTGAGACTTGAGAGAAGTCGAGACCACAATCGACTTGAGAATGGTCCAGGACGGACCGAAACGTCTTCGGAACGGTTAAAACCAATTACTGTTTGTTTGAGCATAGACTCAAGAATGGCCTAAGGCAATTCTTACTTATTGTGACTACAGTATAAGTATTACTTCTCGTAAGTACAGTATTACCTCTTGTAACTACAGTATTACCTCTTGTAACTACAGTATTACCTCTAAGAATGCTCAACAACACTTACCACCCCCCCCCCCCCCACCCCCCTCGACGGTCTCAGCGTTACACCCTTCACACTTCTCACTAACACTTAACTGCACTTAGACGTATTACTTAAGATTTACTTATATATACAAACTCCCTCAAAACTGTCAGCTCACGCCAGCCATCCCATGTATAATAATAATACAAATAAAAATAATAATAATAATAATAATACTTTATTTCACAAAAAGTTACAGTGAAATAAATATTACATAAGATATGTATTAGTGTCATTCTTGGAAATACATAAATAAATAAATAGTTTTTATTGAGGTTAAAAGAGCATGCATACATAGTGAGTTACAAATAGATTGTTGGATCTCCTTGTAAGGAGATTAGGAAGAGATGCGGTGGAGTCGAACCCTTGAACCTCTCCACACAGTGAAAGAGAGACAGAGTGAGCCGATGAACCGGAACCATTAAAGATAGACACTTAAGAAATATTGAAACACAATTCCTATAACCTTGAGATGGAGGGCCGCTGTTTTAACATTTTACAACACAAAAAAGCAATAACATGACATTACGAACATCACAACACACTTGGGCACACAGAATACACCCAGTACGATGCACTAAATGTTGTTTCAAGCGTAGGTTAGACATATATATGAATCTCAATAGACCTGAAGTTTCTTAAATTCTTCTCGTGGTCTTATACACACGATATGAGTGTAGTTACAGGTATAATAAGTCATTAAGTCCCCTTCTACCACTCACCCACAGGAGCCTCTAGCTAACCTTTCCTCGCAAAGAGTGTATTTAGCTCTAAGAGCCTCATGAACATTCTATACGTGATGAGAACAAAGTAAAGGAACATTTGGGATAAGAGAACAGAGTGAAGGAACAGCTGGAACAAGAGAGAGAGGCAGAACAAGATGGACTCACAATCTATTAAGAGTTCTCCCTCCATACTCAGAACCCTTAAGGAGAGTCCAGAAAGACATTCTCATACCTTTTTAAGTCGTTTGAAATCTCTGGCACTCACGGGCTGCCTTTTCTGCCCGTGAGTGGCAGAGTCCACTTATAGCAGAGTCAGCTGTTGGTCAACCTGATTCTACCCGACACCTGGCTGATAGATCGGAGGATTGGTCAATCAGACCCGTCTCGGGATTTGCACCCCGAGGTTAGCCTAAAGACATTCATGCATGATTATATCCACCGAAGCTGACATCAGCTCCACCGAAGCTGACATCAGCTCCACCGAAGCTGACATCAGCTTCACCGAAGCTGACATCAGCTTCACCGTACCTGACACCATCTACCTCAAAGCTGATATTATATCCTATAAAGAGGACATCATTATCTCCCTCGAAGCTGACATTATCTTAAGCAAATTATTCTCTTTGTCAAAAATCAGAGTCCAAATTGGCCTTAGGATGGTTTGGCAATGTGGAGTATGTGTAGTGTGTACTGTGTGATCCCTTCACATATCCACTTGCCATGTAATCCTTCCCCTTCGGAGCCCATGCAACGCTGACTCAACTATTCCCTTGCACATTCCTCCTGATCCCCACAAGCCCGTGAGTTCGAAGATCCACAATACATCGTCGGAAAAAAAGGATTCTGACCGCAATGCAACTTGGAGACCCTTCCAACATGCCGACATCGAAGGTCGCTTGGGAAAGTACCCAAAGGAAGGTAGTTCGGGGTGATTCGTTGAGGTCAACTCAGACACAAACAGATGAAGGTATAGGAGCGTCGTGGGCGTGTAGCGGGTCGTTGGTGAGTGTCTTAGTGGAACACTTCATGTTCTTTATGGTGGGAGATGAAGTGTGCCCGCGGGAGGTGGGGAGGACGCTGTGTCATGCCCTCAGCGCTCTTGTTGGCGCGCTGAGGTCTCTTGTTGGCGCGCTGAGGTCTCTTGTTGGCGCGCTGAGGTCTCTTGTTGGCGCGCTGAGTTATCTTCTTGGGGGCGCTGGGTCCTCTTGTTCATATATTTTTCCTTTGAGTAGCGCAATGTGTCAATTAAGTTCTTCTCCGAGTGTTAAGCAAATTCTCTGAATGACATATAGGCTTTGAGTATTTGTTTTGTTTGATCCTGTGAGCAGGATTCTCAGGCGGTAACTGTGAACTCTTCCTATGTTCTCCTTCACCGTGGGCTGCTGTTAACTGCTTGACGCTGCACAGATGCCTCTTGCTTCACCCCTGGGGACTATCTCGCTAGCGTGCGTCCACAGAGACTATCTCTCGCTAACGAGTAACCTTCCACTCTCTTCTTAATCACTCTGCAGAAACCAATTCTGGAGACACGAACAATCGCATAGTTAATCCTTATAATGACACATAGTTATAAGCGTTAGGAAACTATAAAAATTAAATTTTCTCTGTCCAGTAACTGTGATTAGTTGTCGGGATCCCATACAGTACTGATGGGATCCTACTGCTCTCATCTTCTGTGGCCCTCCAGCAGTTATTGAATTTTTTTCTCTGAAAAAAAGGCCTCACAAAAAAGTATAGAATCCCCGTACAAAAGTTAGCGGTAATGTCCTCTCCGAGTACAAAATAGCTACGGAAATTCCAAACGAACTAATCAGTATTAACAGTGGAAACTTCCAATGGACTCTGTCTTTATTAAATGTAAAATATTAGAGAATGTTTCTTGGACATTCCTATCTCTCTTTTCCCCCCCCTCCTCTCTCTCTCTCTCTCTCTCTCTCTCTCTCTCTCTCTCTCTCTCTCTCTCTCTCTCTCTCTCTCTCTCTCTCTCTCTCTCTCTCTCTCGGTGGTACAAGTAAGAGATCCTAATTTGCATACCCATGCTCATTTGCATGCAAGTTGTTCACCACACTTGTCAGCATTGGCTTAATTGCTGAGTCTCTTTATAAATGTGTGTCATTCTACTGCCTGCTTGGTAAATATACATACATGTATTACTGTCTTATATACATAACATGACATGTATAATGTATACAGGAAACAGAACAGAGACAATATTGTCCCTAATTCTAAAAAAAATCCTGAATAGCATCTGCTTGTCAAGCTAAGGAAGATTATGTATTTAATAGTTTTCCCTAAAACCCAACAAATTTTTCATTCTGTCAAGAACCGTTTTCTGTTATGAGGGGGGGGGGGGGGTCCATCATCTTGTTTGACCGCACGCGCTGCCTCGTTTGACCGCACGCGCTGCCTCGCTTGACCGCACGCGCTGCCTCGCTTGACCGCACGCGCTGCCTTGTTTGACCGCACGCGCTGCCTTGTTTGACCGCACGCGCCGTCTTGCTTGACCGTGAGAGAGAGAGAGAGAGAGAGAGAGAGAGAGAGAGAGAGAGAGAGAGAGAGAGAGAGAGAGAGAGAGAGAGAGAGAGAGAGAGAGAGAGAGAGAGAGAGAGAGAGAGAGAGAGAGAGAGAGAGAGAGAGAGAGAGAGAGAGAGAGCGTATCATACACACATACTAATAACGCAGTAATCACAGCCCAAGACTATGACATCAACACAACTCTATTCATAATTTTAAAACTAGATATGACAGGGGAAATAGGACCGGAGTCATTGCAGTAAACAACCGATGGCTCGAAAGGCGGGATCCAAGAGTCAATGCTCGATCCTGCAAGCACAAATATGTGAATACACACACACACACGTGCTAAGGACAATTTATAATACAAATACAAGTAAAAAGAAGTATGGAGATACAGTTATATATAAATATATATATATATACTGTATATATATATATATATATATATATATATATATATATATATATATATATATATATTCGTGAAAGGTCGAAGGCGCATTATCCTACAGCAGCCATGATGGTTTGAGGAAGCATATATAATGGAGTGGAGGTCGCTTGGCCACCACTACTAGTGAGCCCTGTCCGCCCGCTCCACCCGTCCCGCTGTCCCTATCCCACAGCCTCCCACGTCGCCGAGTCTATCCCACAGTCTCCCACGGTGCTCAGAAGGATAGACGGGTCGTCCTTCCGGTAGAAGGGTGAGGGAGAGGTGCCTGTGAGAGGTGACGGGGGCGCGCGACGCGTGCTGGAGACTACTGCGGGGCTGGAGGTCGTGTACACAGAGGCAGAATTGTGTCTGTGACTTAGTGTTGGGTTCCTATACGAGGTCCACTGCCAGGTCCACCGTCAGGTCCATCGTCAGGTCCACCGCCTGGTCCACCGCCTGGTCCACTGCCAGGTCCACCGTCAGGTCCACCGCCAGGTCCACCGCCAGGATGAGGAGTCAAGTCCTCTCAGTTCTGTTCCTTCTCGCTACTTTGGTGCCATGTCGAGCCATCTCCAAGAAAGAGTAAGTACACGCACATACACGAACATACAGACCCCTTCTCCCCCTCTTCCCACACGCGCACACACGTACATATATGTATACACAGCTCCAGGCTCTATGTACGTGTCTGGGAGTCTGTCAAACGCCTTTTTTTACAATAAAAAATGCAAGCGGAACGTTGATAATCTTCTTGAGATTCTCCAAGATTCCGCTTGTTGACACTAGAGACCTCACGACACGTCATCTCCGGAGATCACTCGTAAGGGGCACGAGTCCTTCCATAAATTTCTTCGGTTCTTTTGCGTTTCTAATTTACGCAGGGAACTGCGATCCTGGATGAGCTTGCATGCGTGGGTGTCAAGGAGGAGACTCGTGAAATGGATTGAAGATTGTCTCATAGGGAGGAAAGCCAAGGTCTGCTTCAACGGAGCAGTGTCTAGAACAATGAGTATTGAACGCGGGACCCCGCAAGGAGGAGTCTTAAACCCCACACTATTCAACATACTTATGAACGCCATTGGAAATATTGAATTTCCAGAAGGAACACACCAAGTGAGATATGCAGATGATGTCCTAATACAGGCTCCAACCTTGGGAAAAATTAAACAGTCCATTGAACTCCTTGGAAGGAAATGTGTTGAACTCTGTTTCACTCCACAAGCAAGCCAAAAGCATTCTCCCATCACAAGCTGGGGGACAAATGAAGAGCTTTAAATTAATGGTGTAACACTTGAATGGGTTGACCGCTATCGGTACCTTGGCGTCACTGTTGGCTCTAACAAGGGGAAGAAAGAGGAGCTCAATCAACTCATAGGAACATGTACAAGTCGACTCAGGGCACTGAAAGCTATGACTTAGAATGGGCATGGGGCTCTATTGATGTACTTAAAATGGTGTACACAGCCCATGTGCGCTCCGTCATAGACTATGCCGCACCAGTTTTATGCACTTAATCCCAGCACGATATGAAAAAAAATTGAAAGCATACAAAATGAAGCCATGACAATCATTCTTAGAGTCCCAAGAACTGCCCAAAAATCTAATATATGAGAGCTGTCCCTCCCCCCAGTGTTAAAAGCAGAATTAAGGAACTGAATGCTAAGCTTGCAATTAAAATAGTCACAGATCCCCATTACAATGATACTGCCAAGAAAAAACTGAATTCTGTGCTACTTTCAGGGGGAAACAGGAGAAGCAAAAAAAATGGCATCACAGATCAGTCTGCTACCTGGAAGAACTTCACCTGCTTGAGCAAGCACTTGAGCTCATGCCTGTAGGAAGGTTACCTCCCTGGATGGAACAATCCATCCGTGGTGTAGTGGTGTAGTGGTAAGACACTAGCCTGGCGTTCCGCGAGCGCTATGTCATGGGTTCGTATCCTGGCCGGGGAGGATTTACTGGGCGCAATTCCTTAACTGTAGCCTCTGTTTAACGCAACAGTAAAATGTGTACTTGGATGAAAAAACGATTCTTCGCGGCAGGGAATCGTATTCCAGGGACCTGCCCGAAACGCTACGCGTACTAGTGGCTGTACAAGAATGTAACAACTCTTGTATATATCTCAAAAAAAAAAAAATATTTCTTCCAATTTAGAAGCCTCCCTGTCACCCCTCTCCTGTATGTTACAGTTTCCAGAACAGCTTGTTATGAGGGAGTCTGTAAAGAGCACTTTTTCAGGTCGGCGTTCAATCCCCGACCGTCTAAGTAATTGGGCACCATTCCATCCACACGTCCCATTCCCAAATCCTTATCCTGACCCTTTTCAAGTGCTACATAGTCGTAATGGCTTGGCGCTTTTCCCCCCTGATAGTTCCCTCCCTGGGAGGACGACCCACGCAGGATTATCATCAATGAGATGACAACGAGAAAGTCCAACATGATACCATGACAACGAGATAGTCCACCATGATACCACAAGAAATGAGGCACAGGTATCTTGAGGACCTTGATTTACACCTGTCACCCATGAACCACGACGTGATAGAGATTTGCATTTACCTGTACCACAGTGGGTGACGGGTGCCTGCTGTGTTTACACAGTGGGTGACGGGCGCCCGCTGTGTTTACACAGTGGGTGACGGGCGCCCGCTGTGTTTACACAGTGGGTGACGGGCGCCCGCTGTGTTTACACAGTGGGTGACGGGCGCCCGCTGTGTTTACACAGTGGGTGACGGGCGCCCGCTGTGTTTACACAGTGGGTGACGGGTGCCCGCTGTGTTTACACAGTGGATGACGGGCGCCCGCTGTGTTTACACAGTGGGTGACGGGCGCCCGCTGTGTTTACACAGTGGGTGACGGGCGCCCGCTGTGTTTACACAGTGGGTGACGGGCGCCCGCTGTGTTTACACAGTGGGTGACGGGCGCCCGCTGTGTTTACACAGTGGGTGACGGGTGCCCGCTGTGTTTACAGAGGGGAAGAGCATCTTGATACCATCAACGACCCACCAACCAACCACATGCAGAGTTCACGCCTCATTTGCATACGTAAATCTCACCTTTTTATGATGTTGGTATGAGGAGGGCCATGAGGAGCCCAGCCAGGGCCCCCCAGCCAGGGCCCCCCAGCCAGGGCCCCCCCAGCCAGGGCCCCCCAGCCAGGGCCCCCCCCCCAGCCAAGGGGCCCAACAAGAGAACTTACAATTCAATTTCTTTCTTTATTATGCACCCCATACCCATCCCGTGGGCGGTGGTGTAAAGGATTACAGAGGCACATAATCGGTTCAGGAACTGAACCCTCTAGTTCGTTTAGCTAAGCAAGTAACAATGTTTGACGCTAGTTACAAAATTATTAATGTTGTATACACATGTACACACTCTCATACATACATGTACATATATACATATATATACATATACATATATACATACACATACATATCTAATCACTCACACAAATACACACATCAATAATCTTTGTGTCACAAGTGATCAATAAGAGGGTCACAACAGTCACTATACAAGGCACTTTACATCTATAGTGAATCACACAGTTACTAGTCTTGCTCCACACCCACCCAACTGGGCGGCAGCTTTACAGTCATGTGCTCCACACCCACCCAACTGGGCGGCAGCTTTACAGTCATGTGCTCCACACCCACCCAACTGGGCGGCAGCTTTACAGTCATGTGCTCCACACCCACCCAACTGGGCGGCAGCTTTACAGTCATGTGCTCCACACCCACCCAACTGGGCGGTAGCTTTACAGTCATGTGCTCCACACCCACCCAACTGGGCGGCAGCTTTACAGTCATGTGCTCCACACCCACCCAACTGGGCGGCAGCTTTACAGTCAAGTGCTCCACACCCACCCAACTGGGCGGCAGCTTTACAGTCATGTGCTCCACACCCACCCAACTGGGCGGCAGCTTTACAGTCATGTGCTCCACACCCACCCAACAGGGCGGCAGCTTTACAGTCATGTGCTCCACACCCACCCAACTGGGTGGCAGCTTTACAGTCATGTGCTCCACACCCACCCAACTGGGCGGCAGCTTTACAGTCATGTGCTCCACACCCACCCAACTGGGCGGCAGCTTTACAGTCATGTGCTCCACACCCACCCAACTGGGCGGCAGCTTTACAGTCATGTGCTCCACACCCACCCAACTGGGCGGCAGCTTTACAGTCATGTGCTCCACACCCACCCAAGTGGGCGGCAGCTTTACAGTCATGTGCTCCACACCCACCCAAGTGGGCGGCAGCTTTACAGTCATGTGCTCCACACCCACCCAACTGGGCGGCAGCTTTACAGTCATGTGCTCCACACCCACCCAAGTGGGCGGCAGCTTTACAGTCATGTGCTCCACACCCACCCAAGTGGGCGGCAGCTTTACAGTCATGTGCTCCACACCCACCCAACTGGGCGGCAGCTTTACAGTCATGTGCTCCACACCCACCCAACTGGGCGGCAGCTTTACAGTCATGTGCTCCACACCCACCCAAGTGGGCGGCAGCTTTACAGTCATGTGCTCCACACCCACCCAACTGGGCGGCAGCTTTACAGTCATGTGCTCCACACCCACCCAACTGGGCGGCAGCTTTACAGTCATGTGCTCCACACCCACCCAACTGGGCGGCAGCTTTACAGTCATGTGCTCCACACCCACCCAACTGGGCGGCAGCTTTACAGTCATGTGCAGGCATCCTTTTTATAAGAGAGCTTACAGACGAGGATTCTGCCAAGATGCATACCAACCTTGAAAACCTTCAGAGACGCTCAGAAAAAATGGCTTCTAGACCTCAACCGACAGAAATGCAAGGTGACGAGAATGTTTCAAGGGAGCTGGGAAAGCTATATTAAACACCGGTTTAGGGAGCCGGTCGGCCGAGCGGACATCACGCTGGACTTGTGATCCTGTGGTCCCGGGTTCGATCCCGGGCGTCGGCGAGAAACAATGGGCAGAGTTTCTTTCACCCTATGCCCCCTGTTACCTAGCAGTAAAATAGGTACCTGGGTGTTAGTCAGCTGTCACGGGCTGCTTCCTGGGGGTGGAGGCCTGGTCGAGGACCGGGCCGCGGGGACACTAAAGCCCCGAAATCATCTCAAGATAACCTCAAGATAACCTCAAGATAAGATAACACTGTGAAGGGGGGAAGATAACTAAAGAGAACCACAATACCCCATACCTTAGCCCTCGAGTCTTATAAGATAACTTAAAAATGTGTCTTATAAAGCAAATAAGATAACATCATCATATACCAGGATAACAAGATCAACACATGTGAGGATAACATCAGTCACTGTACACCCTCTCACCTGTACATTGTACACTCACTTGTACACCGTACACCTCGGAGATGCACTCACTTGTACACCGTACACCTCGGAGATGCACTCACTTGTACACCGTACACCTCGGAGATGCACTCACTTGTACACCGTACACCTCGGAGATGCACTCACTTGTACACCGTACACCTCGGAGATGCACTCACTTGTACACCGTACACCTCGGAGATGCACTCACTTGTACACCGTACACCTCGGAGATGCACTCACTTGTACACCGTACACCTCGGAGATGCACTCACTTGTACACCGTACACCTCGGAGATGCACTCACTTGTACACCGTACACCTCGGAGATGCACTCACTTGTACACCGTACACCTCGGAGATGCACTCACTTGTACACCGTACACCTCGGAGATGCACTCACTTGTACACCGTACACCTCGGAGATGCACTCACTTGTACACCGTACACCTCGGAGATGCACTCACTTGTACACCGTACACCTCGGAGATGCACTCACTTGTACACCGTACACCTCGGAGATGCACTCACTTGTACACCGTACACCTCGGAGATGCACTCACTTGTACACCGTACACCTCGGAGATGCACTCACTTGTACACCGTACACTTCGGAGATGCACTCACTTGTACACCGTACACCTCGGAGATGCACTCACTTGTACACCGTACACCTCGGAGATGCACTCACTTGTACACCGTACACCTCGGAGATGCACTCACTTGTACACCGTACACCTCGGAGATGCACTCACTTGTACACCGTACACCTCGGAGATGCACTCACTTGTACACCGTACACCTCGGAGATGCACTCACTTGTACACCGTACACCTCGGAGATGCACTCACCGTAGCAACCCTCATAACTTCCCCTCTTTCAGACGAAGTTTGTTGTGCTGTAAACACACTCAGGAGACACTGTAAACACACTCAGGAGACACACTCAGGAGACACACTGTAAACACACTCAGGAGACACACTGTAAACACACTCAGGAGACACACTGTAAACACACTCAGGAGACACACTGTAAACACACTCAGGAGACACACTGTAAACACACTCAGGAGACACACTGTAAACATACTCAGGAGACACACTGTAAACACACTCAGGAGACACACTCAGGAGACACACTGTAAACACACTCAGGAGACACACTGTAAACACACTCAGGAGACACACTGTAAACACACTCAGGAGACACACTGTAAACATACTCAGGAGACACACTGTAAACACACTCAGGAGACACACTGTAAACATACTCAGGAGACACACTGTAAACACACTCAGGAGACACACTGTAAACACACTCAGGAGACACACTCTTGGGTTCTTTATGTTGTGTCTGTTTGACTTCTTCAAGTGTTTGTTCGTGGTGTTTGTCTCCTGTTCAACGTAGAGCGACTTAACCTAACTTAGGCTTTTGGTTTCTGTTCTCTTAAAACTATGGAAAAGCAGTGACTTACACTAAGTGTGTCCAGCAGTGACTTACACTAAGTGTGAGTCCAGCAGTGACTTACACTAAGTGTGAGTCTAGCAGTGACTTACACTAAGTGTGAGTCCAGCAGTGACTTACACTAAGTGTGAGTCCAGAAGTGACTTACACTAAGTGTGAGTCTAGCAGTGACTTACACTAAGTGTGAGTCCAGCAGTGACTTACACTAAGTGTGAGTCTAGCAGTGACTTACACTAAGTGTGAGTCTAGCAGTGACTTACGCTAAGTGTGAGTCTAGCAGTGACTTACGCTAAGTGTGAGTCTAGCAGTGACTTACACTAAGTGTGTCCAGCAGTGACTTACACTAAGTGTGAGTCCAGCAGTGACTTACACTAAGTGTGAGTCTAGCAGTGACTTACACTAAGTGTGAGTCCAGCAGTGACTTACACTAAGTGTGAGTCTAGCAGTGACTTACACTAAGTGTGAGTCCAGCAGTGACTTACACTAAGTGTGAGTCTAGCAGTGACTTACGCTAAGTGTGAGTCCAGCAGTGACTTACGCTAAGTGTGAGTCCAGCAGTAACTTACACTAAGTGTGTCCAGCATTGACTTACACTAAGTGTGAGTCCAGCAGTAACTTACACTAAGTGTGTCCAGCAGTGACTTACACTAAGTGTGAGTCTAGCAGTGACTTACGCTAAGTGTGAGTCTAGCAGTAACTTACACTAAGTGTGAGTCTAGCAGTAACTTACACTAAGTGTGAGTCCAGCAGTGACTTACGCTAAGTGTGAGTCCAGCAGTAACTTACACTAAGTGTGAGTCCAGCAGTGACTTACGCTAAGTGTGAGTCCAGCAGTAACTTACACTAAGTGTGAGTCCAGCAGTAACTTACGCTAAGTGTGAGTCCAGCAGTAACTTACACTAAGTGTGAGTCCAGCAGTAACTTACACTAAGTGTGAGTCCAGCAGTGACTTACACTAAGTGTGAGTCCAGCAGTAACTTACACTAAGTGTGAGTCCAGCAGTGACTTACACTAAGTGTGAGTCCAGCAGTGACTTACGCTAAGTGTGAGTCTAGCAGTGACTTACGCTAAGTGTGAGTCCAGCAGTGACTTACGCTAAGTGTGAGTCCAGCAGTAACTTACACTAAGTGTGTCCAGCATTGACTTACACTAAGTGTGAGTCCAGCAGTAACTTACACTAAGTGTGTCCAGCAGTGACTTACACTAAGTGTGTCCAGCAGTGACTTACACTAAGTGTGAGTCTAGCAGTGACTTACGCTAAGTGTGAGTCTAGCAGTAACTTACACTAAGTGTGAGTCTAGCAGTAACTTACACTAAGTGTGAGTCCAGCAGTGACTTACGCTAAGTGTGAGTCCAGCAGTAACTTACACTAAGTGTGAGTCCAGCAGTGACTTACGCTAAGTGTGAGTCCAGCAGTAACTTACACTAAGTGTGAGTCCAGCAGTAACTTACGCTAAGTGTGAGTCCAGCAGTAACTTACACTAAGTGTGAGTCCAGCAGTAACTTACACTAAGTGTGAGTCCAGCAGTAACTTACACTAAGTGTGAGTCCAGCAGTGACTTACACTAAGTGTGAGTCCAGCAGTGACTTACACTAAGTGTGAGTCCAGCAGTGACTTACACTAAGTGTGAGTCCAGCAGTAACTTACACTAAGTGTGAGTCCAGCAGTGACTTACACTAAGTGTGAGTCCAGCAGTAACTTACACTAAGTGTGAGTCCAGCAGTGACTTACACTAAGTGTGAGTCTAGCAGTGACTTACACTAAGTGTGAGTCCAGCAGTGACTTACACTAAGTGTGAGTCTAGCAGTGACTTACACTAAGTGTGAGTCCAGCAGTGACTTACACTAAGTGTGAGTCTAGCAGTGACTTACACTAAGTGTGAGTCCAGCAGTGACTTACACTAAGCATAAGTCCAGGAATGACTTACTCAATATGTGAATAACTGCTTGTAATGTTTTCAAGCGTCGATCGTCGTACATCAGATGCACGAAAAAATGAAATTTGATGCAGGGAAGTTCGCCTAATCTAACTTATTTCTAAAAACAATAACTTGAAAATACATATATGTAACAAAGCAGACGTATATACTACAAAGTTAGTCATAGGTTTGGTTTAGTTAGACCTAAATTTGGTTAGGAAATAATGTTATCAAATTTGTTTTAATTTCTCTTCAGGTTAGCAGTATTTAATCTTATATACACACCACCTTAACCTCCTGACTATTGTCTCAGTCCGTCCGCCTAAAACTCTCCCAATGTCAAGAAAACAGACAATGTAAAATAGTCTCCCCTAACCTACCAGAGGACCCAAAACAGAAAACGGGACAGTACGTCACTTTCGCCAACCGTTTCCATTTTCTAGTACGAGAATTATTAGCCTTATGTAACGCATACGATTGAAAAGCGACGTTCTTTGTAGCAGGACAAGTTGCACACAGAAATCACAATAGCGTGATGCATCAAATGAACAAATCCACAAGGGCCGTGACGAGGATTCGAACCCTGCGACCATGTCGTAGCTCAGTCGATTAAGGCAGCATCTGGGATGCTCTCGGTCGCAGGTTCGAATCCTCGTCACGGCCCTCGTGGCTTTGTTCATAGGACAGGTTGTTCCTCTAGCCACGACAGCTGCTAACGACAGGTGTTCTCTCCTCCCGCAGCCCCCACAGGTTCCGGAACGACATGCCCACCACTGACGACGACGACGACGCTCACGGCTTCCCCAACGGCATCCTGCCACACTCCCGCTGTCGCCACAACTACCACGACAGGACCGAGGCCGCCATGAACCGCCAGATTAACCTCTTTATGCATGCTGGCTACGTCTACCACAGCATGGTGAGTGGGCGTGGGGGGATGTGGGTGTGTGTGGGGCGTGTGAGTGGGTGTGGGGGGATGTGAGGGGATGTGAGGGTGTGTGGGGCGTGTGTGGGGGCGTGTGGGGGGATGTGAGGGTGTGTGGGGTGTGTGTGGGGGCGTGGGGGGATGTGGGGGGATGTGAGGGTGTGTGTGGGGGCGTGGGGGATGTGGGGGTGTGTGAAGGCGTGTGGGGGTGTGTGAGTACTCACCTAGTTGTGTTTGCGGGGGTTGAGCTCTGGCTCTTTGGTCCCGCCTCAATAATTGAGTGTGTGTGTGGGGGGGTGAGTGAGTGTGTGGGGGTGTGTGAGTGTGTGGGGGTGTGTGAGTGTGTGGGGGTGTGAAGGTGTGTGTGTGAGGGCGTGTGAGTGTGTGTGTGTGTGAGGGCGTGTGAGTGTGTGTGTGTGTGAGGGAGTGTATTAACCTAGTTGTGTTTGTGGAGGTTGAGCTTTGCTCTTTCGGCCCGCCTCTCAACTGTCAATCAACTGTTTACTAACTACTACAGTTATTCCCCTCCACCCCCAGGAAGCAGCCCGTGACAGCTGACTAACTTCCAGGTACCCCATTTACTGCTAGGTAACAGGGGCATAGGGTAAAAGAAACTCTGCCCATTGTTTCTCGCCGGCGCCCGGGATCGAACCCGGGACCACAGGGGGCGTGGGCGTGGGCGTGTAAGGGTACGAGAGCGTGCAAGTGTGGGCATGATGTTGTGAGATGTGAGTCCTCTTGAGCTAGTTGGTAGAGCAATAGCCTCACTTAACACGGGTCTGCGTTCGATCCCCCGATGATCCGATTGACTGGGCACCTTTCCTCTACTCCTTCCGCATCTTCCATATGATACATAGTGTTACTGGCTAATTACCTTCTCATAATTCCTCTTATTCAGATTCCTTATTACGGGTTCCTTAGATAACTACAAAGTTATTAATTCACGTTATCGAGGCTGTTGTTAGGATGACAGACGCCCTATCACCCCCCTCCTAGCCTGGGCTAACGACTGACCTACCCTACAACAGTTTCCTAGCTATTATACTCCTAGGTGAACAGACGCATTAGGTGAAATGAAACGTATTGTCTTCTGAGCTGGAGTTGAACACGGGACTCTCGATTATTAGTCGAGCGCGTAGACTACTAAGCAACAGAGCCCCAGAAGGTACATGATATTGCAGTAAAAAATTTTAAGTGATAGAGCCCAGACGAAGGCATGGGGGGGGGGTGACGGGGAGGGGGGGGGCGCTTGGCACTATGTGAAGGCTTCCAGGAAGATGGCACTGTGCCTGGCGTGAGCCTGGCGTGAGCCGTGGCATCATTAGCCCATGGTAGTGGTTTAGGTTACTCCAACCAGAAGATACGCCTCTGATACCACGGTAATGAAGCTACAGTTCCCTTGATCACTGGTGAGCAGGACCACCACAGAACCCTCAATTTTGATAATTGTGAGACAGAATGCAGTGTGCGTGTGTGAATGTGTGTGCACGCGCGTGTGTGTGTGTGTGAGTGTGTGTGCACGCGCGTGTGTGGGTGTGTGTGTGCACGCGCATATGTGGGTATGTGAGTGTGTGTGCACGCGCGTGTGTGTGCACCGGCGGGTCCCACAGCCGCACTAACCCTGCCGGGGATGTGTTCTTTCAGGCACATTACTTCGGGCGGTGCGATGTGGCGCTGCCGGGGTTCCAGAAGTTCTTCCAGCAGCTGGCGCAGGAGCAGCGGGGCCACGTGGAGACGTTGATGAAGTATCAGAACCTGAGAGGCGGCTTCATCCTCCTGCAGCAGGTGACGGCGCCCACCACCTCGGAGTGGGGCAGCGGCCTCGACGCTATGGAACACGCTCTCGAACTCGAGAAGAGTGTGAATCAGGTGAGTGAACTTTATAAGTTACAACAACGTGCTTCGTATGCTGGCGAGGAGTCACAATAACGTGGGTGGAGTAGGTTGACCAGACCACACACTAGAAGGTGAAGGGACGACGACGTTTCGGTCCGTCCTGGGGCTAGATTCACGAAAGCAGTTACGCAAGTACTTACGAATGTGTACATCTTTCCTCAATCTTTGACGGCTTTGGTTACATTTATTAAACAGTTTACAAGCATGAAAACTTCCCAATCAACTGTTGTTATTGTTATAAACAGCCTCCTGGTGCTTCGGAGCTCATTAACTGTTTAATAATTGTAAACAAAGCCGTCAAAGATTGAGGAAAGATATAGAGGTTCGTAAGTACTCGCGTAACTGCTTCGTGAATCTGGCCCCTGGACCATAAGTCAATTGAGAATGGTCCAGAACGGACCGAAACGTCGTCGTCCCTTCACCTTCTAGTGTGTGGTCTGGTCAACGTGCTTTGTAAGTGAATATCAACAACCATTGAATTACCAGGAAGGAAGGAATGAATTCCCATCATATTTTGCATTCTTTCAAGAACGGGAAGTTGGAAATGAATGACTATCTTCAACACAAATATTGTAAATAAAGTTCAATATCATTCACTGATAACTGGGAACACTTCTATGGAAGGAATTATATGTTTATGCTAGAGATGGGGTGTCAGTCGTGCAGGGTTAGGCTTGTTGCTTTTGCCAATTGGCTGAAAGCTGTATTTGGAGAGGTTAATCAGGGTTTCAGCTGTTAGATGACAGATCTATGGGAATGGATTTTTTTGTGGGTGTAAATGTTGGGCTTGACTAGGATGTGGAGTTAAGGAATCACTTTGTGTGTGGCGGAGGGTGTGGTAGTGTGGTGGTGGGTGTGGTAGTGTGGTGGAGGGTGTGGTAGTGTGGCACAGGGGGTATTAACACTCTGCTCCTGCCACAGGCGCTGCTGGAACTGCACATGGTGGCCTTACAACACGAAGATGTCCACGCTGCCACCCACATCCAGACAACCTTCCTCAACCCTCAGGTAACATATCCACGCCTCCACCCACACCACCACACCCCCCGCCCCTCACCCACACCACCACACTATCCTCACCCACACCACCACACACCCCCCGCCCCTCACCCACACCACCACACACCCCCGCGCCTCACCCACACCACCCCACGCCCCCCGCGCCTCACCCACACCACCACACGCCCTACACACGCCTCCACGCCTGGTACTGTAGTCCTGCATGAGGATCTCCAACACTCCACAACCCATCCACGGAGTCACAAACTCCTGTTCTTTGTGAGAGCCTAGCCTAACCTAGCCATTGTCTTCCATGGATAGTTTCACTTGGACGTACTCCCTGGCGACTTATAATCAACACTATCCTCCTGCAGGGCTAAGTTACGGGCTCACCATAGCCCGTGCTACTTCGAACTTCGATTCACGAAGCAGATACGCCAGTACTTACGAACCTGTACATCTTTTCTCAATCTTTGGCGGCTTTGTTTACAATTATTAAACAGTTAATGAGCTCCGAAGCACCAGGAGGCTGTTTATAACAATAACAACAGTTGATTGGCAAGTTTTCATGCTTGTAAACTATTTAATAAATGTAACCAAAGCCGTCAAAGATTGAGGAAAGATGTACACGTTCGTAAATACTTGCGTAACTGATTCGCGAATCTGACCCAGAACAAATATTTACACCTCTTTTTTGTATATATATAATGTCTCTCCTCTCCAAACTATCACATCAACTCTCTCTACACAAAACACTACATTCTGGAGATAAGGTTCGTAACATAATCTGTCTCCACAATCCGTGTATGCGAACACACACACACACACACACACACACACACACACACACACACACACACACACACACACACACACACACACAAGGGCTCAGTTCTCGGACCTATCCAATTTCTCATACATGTAAATGATCTCCCAGTGGGAATAAACCCATTCCTATTAATGTTTGCTGAAGATGCAAGAATTACGAGGAGGATTAAGACAGAAGATAGCAAGAAGCTACAGGATAATCAGGTCAAAACGAACGAATGGTGCAACAAATGGCTACTAGAATTTAACTCGAGTAAATGTAAAGTAATGAAACTAGGTTAGGAACAGGAAGCCGGAAATAAGGAACTAAATGAAAGATGAAATCTTTCAAGAATCGAGCAGATAAAAGCATCTAGAGGTTGATATCATATCGAACCTTTCTCTAGAAGCCCACAGCCATTGGATATCATCAGTAGAATATGCCAGGTTTGTCATCATGAAAATGTATTTTGAAATTTGTGCAAGAATTATATACAACATTGTTTGCTTCTGCGTGGAGAGCGTGTTTGGTCAAGCACAAGACGAAGTTAGGGAAAGTTCAGAGGTATGCCATCAGACTAGTCCCAGAGCTGAGAGGTATGAGTTACGAGGAACGGCTACAAAAATTAAGCCTCAGGTCGCTGGAAGACAGTAGAGATAATGGAGACATTATATATATATATATATATATATATATATATATATATATATATATATATATATATATATATATATATATATATATGTCGTACCTAGTAGCCAGAACGCACTTCTCAGCCTAATATGCAAGGCCCAATTTGCCTAATAAGCCAAGTTTTCATGAATTAATTGTTTTTCGACTACCTAACCTAACCTAACTTTTTCGGCTACCTAACCTAACCTAACATATAAAGATAGGTTAGGTTAGGTTAGGTAGGGTTGGTTAGGTTCGGTCATATATCTACGTTAATTTTAACTCCAATAACAAAAAATTGACTTCATACGTAATGAAATGGGTAGCTTTATCATTTCATAAGAAAAAAATTAGAAAAAATATATTAATTCAGGAAAACTTGGCTTATTATGCAAATCGGGCCTTGCATAGTAGGCCGAGAAGTGCATTCTGGCTACTAGGTACGACATATATATATATATATATATATATATATATATATATATATATATATATATATATATATATATGTGTGTGTGTGTGTGCAATCAACAATATTTGTGTACTCACCTAGTTGTGATGGCGGGAGTTGAGCTCTGGCTCTTTGGTCCCGCCTCTCAACTGTCAATCAACTATGTGTGTGTGTGTGTGTGTGTGTGTGTGTGTGTGTGTGTGTGTGTGTGTGTGTCCCTCACTGACCAAGGTCTACCTTACAGGTCGAGAAGATGTTCACCATCAGCCAATACATCACCAATTTAGAGCGAGTTGGTCCTGGGCTTGGTGAGTATATGTTCGACAAGCTTCCTCAGAACTAGTCTCACCAGGACCCACCAGGACCCTCCCTGCTTCACCAGGACCCTCCCTGCTTCACCAGGACCATCCCTGCTTCACCAGGACCCTCCCTGCTTCACCAGGACCCTCCCTGCTTCACCAGGACCCTCCCTGCTTCACCAGGACCCTCCCTGCTTCACCAGGACCCTCCCTGCTTCACCAGGACCCTCCCTGCTTCACCAGGACCCTCCCTGCTTCACCAGGACCCTCCCTGCTTCACCAGGACCCTCCCTGCTTCACCAGGATCCTCCCTGCTTCACCAGGACCCTCCCTGCTTCACCAGGACCCTCCCTGCTTCACCAGGACCCTCCCTGCTTCACCAGGACCCTCCCTGCTTCACCAGGACCCTCCCTGCTTCACTAGGACCCTCCCTGCTTCAACAGGACCCTCCCTGCTTCAACAGGACCCTGCCTGCTTCAACATGATCCCAACTTCATTAAATAATTTGCATAGATAATTACTGGCAAAATATTTATTAGAAATTAATCCTAAATAAAATATAATACATTTGGTGACTTCTTCTAATAGCTCTGAGTAGGACTATGTTGACATTACAGGTAATAAATAGTCCTGGTTGGGCTATTTCGCTATTTCAGTTACTAAATAGTAGTCGATTGCTTCTATGGTGTAATTAGCTCTTTGAGGGATATATATAGTGGTGATTCAGAGCCTTTGGAGGTGTTAAATCTCTATTTCAGATTATTAATAACTCTTGAAGGGAATTCATCGCCAGTGCAAAGTACTAATAGCTTACTGAGTGGGAATATGTCGCTATTACAAAGTATTAATAGTATTTTGAAGGGAAAATATCGCTATAACAAAGTATTAGTGGCTCTTGGAGAGGAGATATATATATGGCTGCAACGTATATATATATATTTGTAATAGCTTTTAATCGGGTTTTAATATTTCTATTAAACGTGTAAACACGTTGGCAATATTTAAACCATGAGAGGGGGGAAAAGAAAACGTAAATTGTGTAAATGTACGGTAGAACAGATGTAAATATGTGTGTATCTCTATATATGTGACTGCTAGATGTTGTTTTCAGTGTTGTAAACAATAATGCTAGTGGAGCGGTACAAGGGCAGAATGTAGTTTGTGGAGTATACCATATAACTTATATATGTTTAGAAGCGTATACATTATGAGTATACTTATTAACTTAAGGGGTAACTGGCTTATACCTTTACTTATTAACTTAAGGGGTAACTGGCTTATACCTTATATCTATACTTATTGCCTTGAGGGATAACTGAGGCTTTTATCTTTTAACATTTGATATATAAAGATCCCGCTGGATACTCAGATTACTTTCTCTAAGCTGACATTTTGCTCCTTAAGCTTGACACTTTAGCTCCTCAAGCCTGACAGCTAAGTTTCTCAAGCCTAACAACTTATGAACTTAGTTCCTCAAGCCTGACTGCTTAGTTTTTCAGGACAGTTTAATGCCAAGCTTGACCGACAGCTTAACACGTGAAGCTTGACATAGACAGCTTAACAAACAGAGTCTCTGTCACGCCGCTAAGCCCGGGGTAAGATGTGCAGACATCAAGCTAAAGATCTTACATGCCAATCTTCCTCATAGTTAACATTCTCACTAAATTATCCCTCTCTTCTTACGAATTGTCTTCCTGGATGATGTTTATCCATTAAATTAATCTGTTAATCTGAATTGTGATAGCTGGTATCCAAAAAATGAGAGTATCTATAGTTACTATAGACGAACGTACGAAATATGAACGGGCGCAGGCGTTAAAAATTTAACATTTTAGTAATATATATATTTTCCTGAAAGCAACAACTTAGCGTTGCAATTCCCAGTCCATAATTAGTAAATACATATATATGTAATAAAGCAGGCCTAAAACTCCATATTTTAGGCCTAGAATAACTTAATTTAGGCCCAAGATAGGTGAGATTCTTGATTACTCTGACCCACATTATATTTGACCATGTAGAATGTCAACAGTACGAAACGTGGACTGTTTGTTTCTGACCACAACCGTTCGTATTTTGTACGTTCCTCCGTGGCTGTAGAGGCTGGGATGGGTAGTTGATATGTGAAATATATTATTGTTAAAAACGTTCAAATGTTTATATGTTATTTAGAGATATATATTGTTCAATAAAGTTATATGGGAGAGCTTATGTCATTCCTCCTATCTGTGATTGGTGTGTGTGTGTGGATAATAGGATATTACATCAACAGTTACGATGGGATATTCCATTAAAGGATATTGTATCCTAGCAGGGTACACTATACATATCCCAGTGGAGGGATACTGGATCCCAATTGATCCTCGTGGATCCTACTAAATTTACTAGACAATTTAAGTGGCATGAAACTCACCTTTGAGGCAGAAACCAGCCCAAACGCGCCTTTCTGATGACCCAAACATGCCTGAGACACAAAAGGTACTAAATATTCTATAATGTATGACACAATCTGTATACAATATAAGGTAAGATTGATAAAAATTATTCAGACTGTATACCACAAAGTTGCTTTTAGCAATTTGAGCGCAGTGTATACTCAACATGGAGTCCAGGCTCCAGGCTAGGCTCGTTATAGCAGCGGCCATCCCCTCAAGACACATTCATCAAATTTAACGTATTGTGTATTTAAAATTAGTTTTTTTATAATGTATTAATAAAAGTCATTGAATATTAAAGCTCTATGTACAGTTAGGTGCACGTTGGGTTAAGGGATTAGGTTCAGTTTGCGAATTATTCAACCCGTTCTCAGACCAAGTCCATTCCATCCAGCAGTCTACTCCAAGACCCCAATTTTAACATGCTGTGCATTCAAAATTTCTATTTTCTCAAATAGAAATTAATATTGTTATATATTAACAAACTGTGCATGTTCAGGCATTAGTTTTGTTAGGTGTTTAGGTTCTGTTGGCGATTATTTGTATTTGTAGTACGTGGGTGAAGCATTTGCTGCAACCCGTCCTCGACTCAAGTCCATTACATCCAGCGGTCGACCCCACAGACGCATTCATAAATGTTAATATGCTGTTCATTCAAAACGGGAATTTTCTCAAGTATAAATTAATATTATAATATATTAGCATATTGTGCATATATAGGCATAGGTTAGGTTAGGTGTTTAGGTTCTGTTGGCGATTATTTGTATTTGTAGTACGTGGGTGAAGCATTTATAGCGTTGTGATTCGAACAAAATTTGTCAGTGAAACACTTGTTCCGGATATGTTCGAACGTCAGCAGTTGTGAGTAGTGTGTAAACCGCTTTTCATTCATAAACAGGGGGTTTGGCGGGTGCATGGAATCACTTTTGGATCTTTGTTTGGAGGACGGGCTGTTTACAGCGTTGTGGTTCGAACGAAAGACGTCAGTGAAGCACTTGTTCCGAAAATGTTCGAACGTCGTCAGTTGTGAGTCGTGTGTAAACCGTTTTTTATTCATAAACCAGCCCATCCTCGCATACAAAGACCCAAGCTCGTTAATCCAGCCGCCAAACCCCCTGTTTATGAACGAAAAGCAGTTTACACACGACTCAACTGATGACACCCGAACACTTCCGGAACAAGTGCTTCACTCACGTCCTTTGTTCGAACCTCAATTCTATAAATGCTTCACCCATGTACTTCAAATACAAATAATAGCCAACATAACCTAAACACCTAATCTATCCTAACCTACGCCTAACTATACATATAACTTTTATGTATACCAATATTAATTTATATATGAGAAGAAACCAATGTTTAATACACAGTGTTAAAATTGATGAATAATGCGTCTGGGGAGGATGGCCGCTACTTTAAACAGCCTAGTGTGAGGACGGGTTGCATAAACAGGGGGTTTGGCGGATGCATGGAATGGATTTGGCCTTTTTTTATGAGAACGGCTTGCTCACACCTGATGACATTCAAATATATAGCTATAACTGAATACAGCTATTTATATGTATACCTTGATATACAATCACAGCCGGTCTCGTGCACAACACAATGACTACTTTATATCTAATGACAATCAAACCCACATCAGTCACCATCATTATATTTAACAATACACAGAGTTGAAAACATTATACAACTTATAATGTACATCCCGACAAGAGAGAAGAATATTACAGTAATTCCTGTCAAGGAAATCAACATGGAGACGATGCCAAAGGGTTTCCAAAAAGAGTCCATAAACAATTAACTTTAAACACATAAGGCACTCCGAAAGAAAGCTAAAACACTTACAAGTCTAAGATCATTACGTCTACAAGTAAATCTACTTTGACTTCTCTCAAATTGATATCGAAAATGGGAAGCAACGATCTATTGTGTATTAAACTTGTTTTGGAATTTGAGTAAATAGTGTTCAAAATGTTGGGAATGACAAAAATATTTTGATCATTCTATATATCTGTGGCCGCCCTGGCCTCTGGGAATCGTATGTACGTGTTCGCTTCTAATGTACGTGCTTGCAGGGATAATGTGAGTAGAAGACTATAGACTTACGTGCTTCATGAACGCCTTGAGGTCCGAATAGCCAATCTCTTTGTTTACATTGATGGCAACACCTGACGTTCAGCAGCGCCTCTGACGGCGTTCAGATGAAGCACTTGGCATGCGCGCCAAACTCAGTTTACTATAAAACTGGAGCGTAAAAATGTATCAAGTGGGCCAAAATTGTGTTATATTATTTAGAAAAGATGAGGTTTCCCTTATGACACGACTGAAAAGAGAAAAAAAGATTCATATATATATTGTCGTATTTGGTTTGTAACCTCTGGGGATACGATATAAACAAAGGAAAGGCGACGAAACAGACATAAAGCTGTTGATTTTCTTAGCAATGCACAAAAATTATTGAACGTTGACGATATCATATGTGCTATTTGGATATCGTGCGGCCGCAGGCGTCGTTACACTTTGCCGATGATAACCGCCTTAAAAGTTTTACAAACTGTGTATAAACATCTCCCCCAACTCATAATAATATTTCACTATAAGTCAATATTTTGCGTGAAAACATCTTCCAGGTAAAATCTTCATAAGCAGCCCATTGGTCCAGACTGGAGTTAGTGTCAAATATGAAGGTCTATGAGAGAGTGGGTGAGAGAGAGGCGCGGAGAACACCCAACATGTGAAGCTTTTACAAGGTGCAGTAAACTCTTGGAATCATACAACTGGCCATGTCGTAAATGCTAAGGCAGTCCTCTATATTGTAATTGAACTGGACAAAATCCTTGTCCAAAATTTCAAAAATATTTGAAAAGGGGAGTTGTGTGGACCATTGACCAGCCTACGGCTTCTTGTCCCCGTCTGGGTCACTTCTTTTGATATAGCGGCCTTTAACATTGTTATCGAGTTGAATTTTTACCAATTTTATATATAATACAAGGGGCAAGTTTCGCGTTTTCTATGAACTCCAAGGATCAATACATGCTGTGGTTATTCTCAACAAAAATAAATGAACTATGTTATTTTGGCTGATAACAAATTATACAAATCATATTTAATACTTATGCAGAGGAAATACAATCATATCTATGAGAAACTATTAAAGCAGAGGAATCCAGGAACGCGGGTTCGAGCCCACCACACAGCCCCAGTATTTTCTCAATGGATACATCACATGTTACACTGACATATAAAAAAATCCTACATCAAACTCTTGAAAAACTTAAAAAAAACTGCAATCAATTGTATATATATGTGATATAACAACGTGTAGAATTTTCATAAAAGATTTGTGACCATATAGGAATAAATAGTACACATAGATAAAGTATAAAAGGGGAGTTGATGGATGGGATTGAGAAGGATTGAGGGAGTGGAGAGGGGAATGAAGCTGGTAAAGAGGAGGACCCGTATGCCACTGGGCCATTCATTGTTGTTTTAGATTTAGCTACTCTGAACGAAATGTCCATGTAGCACGGGCTATGGTGAGCCCGTAATTCTTGGGCCCCCTCACTGGACCACGCGGTAAATAGTGTTGTACCCCGACCAGCGTTCCACACGGAACCTCTGAAGGATGTCCACGATGATATTCTCCTCACTCGGCTCCTGTATGGCTACCTGTACCAGAGAGAGAGAGAGACAAGGACACAGGTCATATATTTTCTTCGCTTAGACTTTGGATGTTAATTTGTATCATATTGAGAGACTGAGGAAATGCTATGATGATCTCTCCTTGCTAGGCTGTAGTATGCCACCTATTTCAGAGAGAGAGAAAAAGACAGAGATAGAGAGAGAGAGACAGAGATAAAACTGCCAGGAAGCAATGGAATACGTAAGACAAGACAAAATAAAGCCCCTTGCTTGCTAATGATACCCTCCGCTGGTCTCCTGACAGAAAAAATGATCAAATATATGCCGAAATATTCACACGTTTATAATTAGTCATATATTATTTCATTAATAATAATTACATGATGATAATTTATACAATAACAGATCAACAAACACTAATTAATTATAACACTCAATAGTTATTGTTTTTAGACTAGGACAAAACAATAGTTGAAAAGCCTAATGACTAATATATTCTGAGAAACAGCAGCTTAGTATAAATGCGTAAGTTAGAGCAGTTTATAGTTTCAAGAATGACCTGGGTAAATACTCATTTGAAAACAAAATTGCCAGCTTATGGCAACAATGGACAGTTTCAAACGTTGGTTAAATATATATATGTGAATAAGTTTTCTTTGCTGAAACGCTGTGCGTATTAGTGGCTTTAGGCACAGTATGTACAAGCTCTATCTAGAACTCCAATTTTCTGTTTATAACTCATCTTGTATGTAGGTACTTTTACCTGAATAAACATCTATTTATTTATTTATTATTTATAGTGATAAATATAATATATTTATTCGCGCATAACTTCTGAAATAATCAAAAGTTATGCGCGGACCGTTGATTGTGCTATAAAATGTGTTTATTTTCTTAAAACAATAAAAGTTTCTTCTTGTTCCACATTCACTATAAAAATAAGTGTAACTACGTTTAATTTATGTGTATATTTACGTAATTTTGAATACCAGTACCTCACATTGTGTAGATTTGAGTATTTCTCAAGATCCTATACAAGGTTTTAATATGCCTTTGCTTCAGGTATATATTTCTCCTCCTATTTGTAAATTTTAATCTTGTTCAGCAATGTCATTTGTAATAATTGATCAATAAAATGTGTAACGCACATCAGAACTAAAAATACCCGTTTAGCTAAAATACAACACAACCTATCGCAGCCTACATCACTCACTAGCAGCCTAAAATGCTCAACTGAAGTCTAATCCACCCTCCGACCTTACCTCCGTCAGAAGGATGTAGTAGAAGCCTCCCGGGTCCTCAAAAGGCGCCACCTTCACCAGGAACCTTATTTTAAGGCACTGAAGACCCGCCAGCACAATGTCCTGAAGGAAAGCTCGTGCGCCAGTCCACTGCTGCTGGAGGAGTGCTAATGAGTACTAGGGGTAGTTACACAATGGAAGTTACACAGTGGAAGTAGCAAAGTGTACCACCAGGTAGGTGTGAGAGAGAGGTGAGGGGTGAGTGAGAGGTGAGGGATGAGTGAGGGGTGAGTGAGAGACATGACGAGAGACGCAGTAATAATAGTGACCTTCCACTCCTTGATGAGCTTGGCGTTGGGTGAGGGTTCGATGCTCTTAAAGGCGGAGATGGCGAGGACGGAGTCCGTGGAGGCGAGGCCCTCTACCGGCGGGCACACACACGCCACCTCCTCGAACATCCCTGCAGGAGAGGTGGTTATATATGGTACCTGGGTCAGTGGTTTGTTGTGGAGGATGAGGTGCGCTCTCTCTCTCTCTCTCTCTCTCTCTCTCTCTCTCTCTCTCTCTCTCTCTCTCTCTCTCTCTCTCTCTCTCTCTCTCTCTCTCTCTCTCTCTCTCTCTCTCTCTCTCTCTCTCTCTCTCTCTCTCTCTCTCTCTCTCTCTCTCTCTCTCTCTCTCTCTCTCTCTCACATATCAGGGGGGAGGGGTGTCCCTGGTGGACTAACCTAACCACATAAGTCACTTTATAATCCAACAACAGCAAAGTAAACGACGTAATTATACCTTGATCTTGTAACAAGAAAAACCTTTAATCACCTTCCGCTTGTTAACCCCACAAGGTAGAGTCACCACAACCATTGTTTCCACTGGGTAGTAAATATAATTTTATAATTGTTTATGCCTCTGAGGTATAAACAATGGATATGTCATTCTTTCCCTCAAGCTTTGATGTGACCTTTGCCTCAGTCAGCTTTGTATCAGTCAGCTTTGCCTCAGTCAGCTTTGTATCAGTCAGCTTTGTATCAGACAGGTTTCATCAGACGTCATAATAATATTTATAGAGCATGACAAATTATAAAACAATAATGAAAATTTGTTTTACACGTGTTACCTAAACGCGTTGTTTTACGTGATAATGGAAATAATATAAACAGATCATCCACTAATTCTCAACTTACCCTGGTCGACCATGTTATCAGAGCCAAGTGCCAGAGGATCGAGGTATGATTGGCTGTTTAGAAACTTGTTAATGGTGCCAGACTCCTCGTTGAGGTGCAGTACTGGGTACAGCCCTGGGGATGAGAGATGGGGAGGTTAGTGGGGAGAAGGGGGCGAGGGAGGGTTAGGGGGGAGAAAGGGGGAGAATCCCACTCCCAATCCCAAACTCAGTGTGTCACAGATTGTATCTAACCTCAGTGTGACACAGACTGTGTCTAGCCACAGCGTGACACAGCCTGTGTAGGTCTGGGGTCTGTAAACACCCTCCCTAGGTCATTGAAGGTGAGCCCGCCTGCCCTACCTCCCTTCTGGAAGGTGTCGAAGTTCTCACAGATGGTGTACAGGGTACCCCCAGAGGGCAGGATGGTCCGAGTGGCTATGAGGAGCTCCGTCAGGGCCTTCTGCACCTGCTTGACGCCCATCGTCCGGCCGACCCACGTCACCAACACCTTCTGCCGGTCCTCGTCCATCGTCACTGCAAAACACGTGAACGGGCGTCACCGTGACGTAACCTCAACAGTCAAGCGAAACATAAACAAGATTAACATTAAGATGTAAACATACACGACAACAGATAGGCACTCAAGAGAGCCAGGAGTGACTACACTCCAGTAAGGAAAGAAGCTGACAGCCGATTGAAACATTACACTGGTGGAAAAGCTAAGTACCTGACGAAGACATATAGAGAGAAAAACAGAATTGCGAGACTATGTACTCAGATTTGAATTCTCACACAGAATAATAATAAAGTTTGTGAAGAACTCAATACAAGATTTCAGAATGTTTTTGTATTAGAAACATCATATGGTGACCAACGTTATGGGATGAAAAGCCAGAAGAAACAATGGATGACATTTTCCTAGAGTATCAAAAAGTATTTGATACTGTTCATGGAAAACTCTCATAGAAGAAGGAGAGACAGGCTGGGAAAACACTAAACTGGGTAAGGGAGTACCTGAAGGACAGAAAACAAAGAGTCAGAGACGAGGTCTCAAGCTGGAGGAATGTAACAAGTGGGGTCCCACACGGCTCTGTCCTGGGAGCGCTGCTGTTCACAATTTATGTGAACGACCAGCCAAAGTGTTTGAGCTCATACATGACAATGTTTGCAGATGACGCAAAGCTAATTTGTATTACAACTTATTCTTAATAAACAGTGCATTAAAAAATTATAAATGCGTCTTAGGGGTCGGCTACAACTTACACCAAACAGGCATTTGATTTAAGCCATGCTTTAACCAGCATGGTTAATGCATGACTTTAACCAAGAGTTCTGGTTAAACCCATGCATTAACCAGCCCTCAGGCCAGGCTCGTTAGAGAGGCGGCCATCCTTCCCAAAAGCTTTCATCAAATTTAACACACTCTGTATTAAAGATTTTTTTTAATACGTTAAGTCAATATTATTATATATTAAATTTCTATGTATAGTTACACATAGGATAGGTTAGGTGTTTACGTTCTGTTGGCGATTATTTGTATTTGTAGTTCATGGGTGAAGCATTTACAGCGTTGTGGTTCGAACAGAGGACGTGAGCGAAGCACTTGGTCCGGAAGTGTTCGAAAGTCATCAGTTGTGAATCGTGTGTAAACCGTTTTTCATTCCTAAACAACGTGTATGGCGGCTGGATTAACGAGCATTTGGCATTTGTTGATAAGGACGGGCTACTTGAGGACGCGTTGCCACATAAACAAATGCTAAATGCTCATAAATCCAGCCGCCGAACCCTCTTTTTATGAATGGAAAAAGGTTTACACGCTGCGCAACTGACAACGTTCGAACACTTCTCGAACAGTGCTTTGCTGACGATCTCTGTTCGAACCGCAACGCAGTAAACAATTCACCCACGTACCACAAATAAGATCGCCAACAGAACCTAAACACCTAACCTAATTTTCACCGAACGATTCAAAGTATTTTAATGTATAATAATTTAATTCATATATGAGAACAAACTAATTTTTAATACACAGTGTTAAAATTGACGAATGCGTCTGGAGAGGACAGCCGCTGCTCTTAACGAGCCTGGCCTGAGGACAGGTTATGACCATGGGCTGCTATGTACTAGTTGTGGCTCAGTGTACTGGTGGTGGCTCAGTGTACTGGTGGCGGCTCAGTGTACTAGTTGTGGCTCAGTGTACTGGTGGTGGCTCAGTGTACTGGTGGTGGCTCAGTGTACTGGTGGCGGCTCAGTGTACTGGTGGCGGCTCAGTGTACTGGTGGCGACTCAGTGTACTGGTGGCAGCTCAGTGTACAAGTGATGCCAAGCCAAGAGTTTCACCAAGAATGCCAAACTTCTTCCATTTGTCCTCAAATTTTCTCGTCCAATCTATTCAAGAAATTCAAAATAATTATTCAAATAATCATTGCAAGTCTTCTCGAGACTATTGAGCAGTCGACGAGGTAAGTAACTTAACATTTAAATCGCAAACTTGACGTTAAACAAGCCAACAAAAAACTTTTATCCCTACGATCCCTCTGATCACTTTAAGAAAAATATAGTATATAAACCGTTAAATAAAGATGCAGGCCGCAGTAAAGTTAGTATATCAATACTTAATTAGTCATAAATTAGATTATACCACTGACTGGATCGGTAAATATAAGGCTTTGTCATATCATATGTTGGAATATAGTTAACTCTTTGTCATTTAACACTAGTTTGTCATATGTGTGTTGAACTAGTAACATCCTGTCATGTCAGTAGACCTGTCACCAGGCAGGTGGCACTCACGGCGAGTGTGAGAGTGAGGCATGAGTGCGTGCCGAGCAGCAGGTGAGTGTGTGAGGAAGTGCATACTGCTTTTCAAGGCGTCTTTAATTACGGGAGTTGTTATCGCTACTGGAAAATAGAGTTCAGACTGGGTCTCATGCAGGCATTGTCCGACGTCACTGCTGAATGCATAGCAGGAGAACACTTGCATTGACTGACGTCACTACAGAATGCATAGCAGGAGAACACTTGCATTGACTGACGTCACTACAGAATGCATAGCAGGAGAACACTTGCATTGACTGATGTCACTACAGAATGCATAGCAGGAGAACACTTGCATTGACTGACGTCACTACAGAATGCATAGCAGGAGAACACTTGCATTGACTGACGTCACTACAGAATGCATAGCAGGAGAACACTTGCATTGACTGACGTCACTACAGAATGCATAGCAGGAGAACATTGTCCATTGCATTGTCCGACGTCATATCGTATTATCACATCGTGGACCAATACAGCGGAAGAAGTGAGGTTGGAAGTGGAGTCACGCCACCTTCCTGTACAATGTTACGTTGTTACTAATGAACGTAACATTCCCCCCTTCCTCTGTTTACATCACGATCCTCGCTGACAACGTTCGCAAGTCGGTGAACGAACCTACGATCACAGTGTATTTTTTCGTTCATTTTCCTGTGGTGTAATTACAATAGTAGCCTAGGCTTGGGAGAATGGTTCAGGGGTAACTATACTAAAATACACGGGGAGTATTATTAACAATGATACACGCATACTAAAGTGTCTTATCACCCCTTTTTGTAATGTTATTGAAGTGGTTTATCTCTGTTATCAGACTGTACGGTCAAAGTTACACTGATGTCAGTCTGTGATATCATATTTACGTGTATATGTTATCCTATATCCATCACCGATGGGTCAGTATTTTATGTTGAAGGTACAACATCGAATGTAGAGAGTGCTAAAAAAATCCCTATCTATCAAGATAGGGATTTTCAAACAAGATAGATAGGGAAAATCCCTATCTATCAGTCATACAGAGCCATGTGATCAATAGTCTGCTCTGGCAAACTCTGTGTCCAATTTTGTTTTAGGATATCCTCAAGGACACGAGAGGTAATAAAGTGATTACAAAAGCTCCAGGCACCTCATGCCAGGGAGGTCTGAAAGGGCTAATAACTGGACATTCGGTGATGTAATGTGCAAGATCATGCCGCAGTTCCTGTTGACAGAGTTTGCACCTGGAGTGCTCAGGAGTGGGAGATCCATAATTAATAGCAGTTTATATTAGTTGCTCGGGTATAACCACATCAAACTCCCAAAAGGTTGACAATTATCGTCCCCCCTTGCTCGACGCCGAGGACGGCGGCCACAGGACAGGAAAAACTAAATATTTACAGGACTTTTCGCGTAGTTTAGTATTCAGTGAGGCCTTGTTCGTTTGTGCGTGTTGCAACCAATTTGGCTGGACAATAACAGAGCTCTGGTGTGCGTGTGTGTAATTAGTGTAGGGGTGTAGTTACTTGATGAGAGCTACGGTCGTGTGTCCCGTCTTCCCAGCACTCTTTGTCGTATAACGCTTTGAAACTACTGACGGTTTTGGCCTCCACCACCTTCTCACTTAGCTTGTTCCAACCGTCTACTACTCTGTTTGCAAAATAAAACTTTCTTATATTTTTTAGCACTTTTGTGTGTGTATGTGTGTGTGTGTGTGTGTGTGTGTGTGTGTGTGTGTGTGTGTGTGTGTTGTACTCATTTAGCATGCTTGCGGGGGGGGGGGGGGGGGGTTGATTTTTAGCCCTGGAGTTTTTTTAGGATATCTTCAAGGACTCGAGAGGTAATAAAGTGATTGCGAAAGCTAGACATTCATAATGTAGTGTGTGTGAGATCACGACCCAGTTCCTGCTCACAGAATTTGCACCTGGAGTGCTCAGGATTGGGAGATCCGTCACCTGTAGCCACCTGCCACAGGTAACCCAACCTGATCCTGGCAACCACTGTGTCGCACAGTCTGGTGGACGTTCTATGCTATCCATATACATATGTTTCAGATAAAAATCACAGCTTTTCATACTAATGCTTTCAGGCTTCTGGGAGTCAGTAATTTCTCTTCGATTAGATCTGAGTGTTTGGAACAACATAGTCTTGTCAATTGAGATGGGGATATTTGGGTCTAATTCAACTTCATCCATGTAACACGCTAATTTGCCTGCAATATCTGAGTCATTATAGTGAGTTATATTTATGGGAGATGGTCCGAGTGCGCGAGAAAGTCTGCGGATATCACCCGCCATGATCCATTTAATTCCGCCTTTCGTAATTGCTTTTGAAAGTTAGTTTCGGAGTTCTGAAGCTGTATGGTGCATGTGAAGCTGAGCTCAGTGCTCGTCTCCACACCCTAAGCTCCCCTGAAGCCTGAGCTCAGTGCTCGTCTCCACACCCTAAGCTCACCTGAAGCTGAGCTCAGTGCTCGTCTCCACACCCTAAGCTCACCTGAAGCTGAGCTCAGTGCTCGTCTCCACACTCTAAGCTCCCCTGAAGCCTGAGCTCAGTGCTCGTCTCCACACCCTAAGCTCACCTGAAGCCTGAGCTCAGTGCTCGTCTCCACACCCTAAGCTCCCCTGAAGCCTGAGCTCAGTGCTCGTCTCCACACCCTAAGCTCACCTGAAGCCTGAGCTCAGTGCTCGTCTCCACACCCTAAGCTCCCCTGAAGCCTGAGCTCAGTGCTCGTCTCCACACCC